TTAACGAATTCTGCTGTTACTCGCTCCATGGCTTGAGCGCCAACAATCACCCCACGTTCAAAGGCGGTTAAATCACGTTGTTTACCCATATCTTCAGAAAAAAACTTCTACTGTCGTGGTAAACAACCTGCTTCCCTATTTATAATGGTCTGGCCCTCTAGCAACTTCAGCGCAAAATTATAGCTAATTTGCCTACAAACGTCAGGTGGTCATAATAATCTGGCCACTCAGTGTATTGTGTGTATTTATCTATCAGTGTTCCACACCTGTTGTGTGATAATGCACCATTCTAATATTGGCTTGCTTTTAGGCTGAGCTTTGGGCCAGAGGTACCAATTTGACAGCTTAATTCATCAAGAGTGCCCAAGTATCGCCAAGACCCTAGTGCTCCATTGTAGAGCTGCAGCTAACGATTATTTTCAAAATCGATTAGTTAGCCGATTATTAAGTTCGATTAATCGGTTATGGGCACTTATTGAATGCACATCTTCCTAGTCAATAATTGTCCAACCCTTTAGCTTCCTATTGACCATTCCAGCCCTCCCATTACATACAGTGTCTAACAGAAATGGGATGGGAGACCTGGGACATGCTTTAGGAGACAATCATAGACTAGGGACACACTGCATGAAACTGCTAGATAGCACTATAATTACAGCCCCCTTACAAATCACAGCCCCCTTACAAATCAATGTTTCCACAAGTAAATGTTACTTTGTACCACATTTGATATTTTTCTCAGCAGGAACCATTATTTAAGATAAGGGAGAAAGAAACATTAAAGGGAAAAAGCGATGGACAGCACGAAACTATAAGATTGTGTAAAAGAAATAAAACAAGCCATTTTACTACTAGATCATTTTTCCTTCAGTAGGAGTAAGCACCTTGGTAGAATGCAGGGGCCCTGAGGGCCAAACAATAAGAGCCTAGGGCGGCAGGTTGGAAACCATCGATCTAAATTCTTCTTTGCAGGAGCAGCTTTATTTTAGGTTTTAGTTTAAGTGGCAGTTGCTTTCAGATTAAAAAAAAAAGAAGCTAGCTTCTAGGAGCTGATTATGGTTCTGCTTGTATGTTTTGTGCAATCCCTGATTAAATTGCTTTGAGCAGTAATAATTTGGCTCATACAGACTGCCGGAGTCTCTGTCCTGACATCAGCCTTGGCTTGTGGCTGATAATCACCCTGCATAATATCTCTGTCGTTAAAATGTGGTAATTAGGGTTTCACAGGTGTTGTTACCAAAAGGAAGAAAAAAAAAGTTTCCCTCGGGAAGTGAAGTGTGAACTGTACAGTATTAAAACAAGACACTGTTTAATAGTATGTCATACCTGGGTGTGCTTGATATACTTATATTTTCATGTATACCATCCCACCAACCTTGTGTCATTTGTGAGTTTGCTTCATTTTTTGAAAATGTTTAGGAAAAATTTTAGCGCATTCAGTGATGGCAGAAATGTTGTAAGTGGAAATGCTATATGCTATATCGTTAGCTACCAAAGCCCCTAACATGCGATCCCACAATCCTTCTCCAGTTCACATTGCTCTTAATCCCTGATGAAGGGGGGGCATTGACTAAGCCCCTGAATCGCATTGCCTGTTCGATGTTTTGTTTATACAATGTGACGCAAAGAGCCTTTTGGACTCTATGACCATTGGCATGGCACGCTTATTATATCTTTAGCTTCAGAGGAGGCATTTTAACCTAGATACTGCCTTACTATTTAAAGGAAAAGTCCACTTTTTGGAACTGGTCCACCCTCCCTAGCCCTCATAACCTGAAAAAACAGGAAATCACCCACTCTGGTGCACACATAACTCGGCATGATAGCCACTTTCCACTCCAATGCTTAATTGGGGCCAAACATTTTCATCAATGCTGGCCACACCTGTCCAGTGAGCCACCACGCACTTGATGAGGCTGTACCCTGAGGGGCCTAGTTATAAACCAGCAGCAGCAGTATGGTCTTATTGTGGCACTGTTTTGGTTAGTGTTTGCCTTTTTAAAAGTTGTAATAGCACTTACCAAAGATTTCCACATAACAAAAGCTATACATCTGCAAGCAAAATCCTAAAAGTACATTTAGTCAGGGTGGCCAGAAAAAAAAAAAAAAGGTACCAGGCACCTATGTTAAAGCGGCCATGTCAAATTAAAAAATATCCAGATGAAAAGTTCCTGTAATAGAAGAGCTTTTATTATCTCTCTGGACGTCCATGTCTCCTACCTTCCCTCTGTTCTGGCCCTGCAGCTTCTTTAAGACTTTTGCTATTTAACACCTCTATCAGTGTTGGGTGCCTGTGTCTCCAGTTGGGCGCTGCGGTTCCATTCTCTGACCTCCTACATCACTGCTGATTTATGTGGTATGTAGGGTTTAGTGGATGGAACCACAGCACATGGGGGGGAACATAGGTACTGGCACGTTTGAAAGTGTTGGATTCTAAAGACTATTACCAAGCCTGCAGTACTGGAACAGAGGCAAGGTAGGAGACATGGGCCACCAGAGAGGTAAGTATAAAGGCTCTTCTGCTGCATGGACATTTTGTCTGGATTTTGTTTTCAGTCTGACACAGTCACTTTAATCAAGAACTTTGAAAAGCCTAGGGGATTTTAAATATTACATATTGTTAACACAGTGTAAATGAGCTTTAAAACACGCTGTCAGTGACCTCTTTAGTTGCAGTCACTGGGGTAATTCATCCTCAAATTTTAAAGCTGTAGCCTCTCAGTTTTACTTTCACTTTGGTAGCTCCGCTCTCTCTACACAGCAGTGACTTGGCAACATGGCAGCCTTCTAATCTCTAATGTAAACACAGAGCAAAAATACAGGAAGAGAACTCCAACAGCGGCTGCAGCTACAGAGGTCAGTGAGGGCTTGTTATGAAGCTTATTTTGACTGTTTGAAACTCCATAGCCTTTCCTAAGGCCTGATTTCTATATGCATTTGCCTACAACAGATTTATGTATATTAACACACTTTACACATATGCTGTTTTATATGTTAAGTATGCTTCAACCTGAACTCGTTTTATGCATTCTGACCCTTTAAAGTGGAAGTTAACATGTGCTATTGTTTTTGCTATTAAATCTTTTAGCTATTCCATATTTAATATTCAGTATGTAACAGTAAAGCTTTAGGTAACACCTTTTTGCTGTTAAATGTATATTGCATTTTACACATATAATTGCATTTGGAAAATTGGGCACTATTTCTAGCGACTATTAATGTTGTTGACAGTAGCTTTGCAAACAAAATGTCATTGTGATTCGCTCTGAAGCGTTGAAGGGTGAGGCTGTATTAAAAGCGGCACACACAAATCTGTTGTCATTTTGCATTATGTCTTCTAGGACTCAGTCCTATATTCAGATTACTGTATATGTGTACACCAGTTTTATTACTATGCTGCTCCATAAATGTGTGCATTTTTCCAATTAAAAAATCCAAAATATTAAAAATGTTAACATTTTATTAACAAAGTTTTGTAGTTACACATAAGTAGTATAGCAGCTTTGTCATTATACAGTATATTATGCCATCTGGGCTCAGTTCCACATTTAAAAGAGAACTCCACCAAGTTGGTCCCTGTAGAATATGGGGGAGTAAGTGTGATCTGTGGTTTTCACTTTCCTCCCTTGTGTCTGTTACGAAAAACATTGCATGGAAAACTCCACACACACACACCATACAACTAAGCCACTGCCTGCAGATCCGGCTGGGCACTGCTGTTGTTTCCACTAATAGTTGTCCCCATAGAAGTCAATGTAGCTGACTCCTTCAGTTCAAAGAATGTAGAGCACCAAGCCTGAAATTGCACCAAAATTGACATGAGACCGTATAGGAAACTATATATATGTATATATATATATGTGTGTGTGTGTGTGTATGTATATATATATATATATATATATATAGTTTCCTATACGGTCT